TGGTTTTTCCAAGAAAATTGCCAAAAAAGGAAATTTTTTAGGAAATTTAGGATCAGCGGAAAGAGTTTTTTTTTTTTGTTAGTTATATAAATATCTTTAGCTTTTATGAATAAGTAATAATTTGTTTTATATATATAAAAACAAATAAAATAAATAGGAAGTTTTTTTAACTAACTGATTGGTTTTTTAATTCTAATTTATAATTTGTAAAAGAATTATAAATTAAAATTTTTTATCAAGACTTTTAATATAACCTATTCTTTAAAATAATCTTTAGATTATTATTAATATTTATTATTTTTAATTATAGTAAAAGTACTAATTGAAAATTATTATTAAAACAAAAGACTTATTTAGAAACTTAATTTATTTTTAATAAAGTTAATTTTTTTTTAAATAAGTAATTTATACTTAAGATTGATATTATTATTAAGATCAGATTATTAATCTTACTATAAATTTAAAATGCTTTTTTAATTATAAATTATATCAAATCTTTAAATAAGTAGTTCTTTAGACAAACTTCTAAATAAAAAAAAAAGTCAAGTTAGTTTTTAAAATTATTTTCTTTTTATTTTATAAGATAAAATAGTAAAAGAAATTATCATCCTCTTTTTTTCAAGGATAAAAAAGTATAGTAATTTGATAAATAATTTATAGGTAATTGATTTTCCTTTTAATATTAATTTTTATTTAATAATTAATAGAAAAGAAAATTTAAGTCTTTATCTACTATAATAACTCTTTGATAATTAATAAATTTGAAATTTTTTTTAGCACTAGTTAGTTTTTAAACCAATTCTTTTTTCTTTATAGAAGATGACCTAGTCATAAAATAAAGTATTTTTTTAAAAGATCTCTTATTATTTATTAGAATATTTAGATATACAGTTTTAAGAATTTTTCTTTTCTATTATTTTTAATTAGTTTTGTTAGCATTTTAAAAAAAATTTTTTTTTATATATTAAAAATTATTATTATCAAGGTTTACAATTTACAATAGTATTTTTAAATTTTGAAATAATCTACTATATAATAATAATCTGTGAATAATAAGTTTATTGGTCAAAAATTAATTTCAATTAATAAAAAAAATTTATATTAAATATATCATATATATTTTTTATTATAGTTGAATGATATTTAAATAACTTGTTTTTTATAATTTTTTAAATTTCTAAATAGTATAAAAAAGTATTATTCTGTTTAAATAAAATTTATCAAAAGCATAAGATTGAGTTATCATTAAAAAATGAAATAAAATAAAAGATTAAATAATTTAAGTTTTATAAATTTTCAATGATCAATATTACAAACTATTTAAAAATATCAATATTCAAAAATTTTTTAATATTATTCTTTAAAAAATGTTGTTCTTTGTTTTACTACTTTTATTTTTTTTGCATCTATTTATCAAAATCTTCGCCTACTTAATTATTCTTAAACATTATACAGTATTTACTTTTTTAAAAAAAGAAATCACTGGTTCTTAAATATCATTGCATGTTCGTATTATTAAAATTTTTTAATTAAGGAAGACGAAATGAAAAATTTTTTGATATCAATATATGATATCACTATATCCGATTTCTTTACAGTAAAATAATAGAATTCTTGAAAAAAAAAACAAACAAAACAAAAACCAATGAAAGTCATTAGCATCTCGGAGAAATAAAACAAAATATAAATGAAGACAATCATGATCCCATCATCTCAGTCATTAATAGCCCAATGAGACCATCTCGATCACGCATTGACGATTTAAAGTGAGTCTTGATCACAAAGAACTCTTTTCCCCGAAAATGAGGGTCAGTCCGGTATAACTGGTAATGATCAATCGTGAAATAAGAGGTGCGCAATAATGAGCAGTTCCTACACGAATTAGCAATTCAATTGCATAGCCGACCATAATCTTATTAAGTACCCGCGTGAAATAATCGTACGTGATTGGAAAGAGTCCCAATGTTTAATTTAAACCCGTGTAACAGCTTTGATTTCCAACAAGCGGTTCACTGTATCATTCAATGCATTTAGTTCGTTAGTATTTAACATCTATTTCCCAACAAGTATATAACAGATTTGACGGAATTAAAATTATCTAAAAATCCACCGTTCTATAGAAAAGTTGTAAATTGAGGTAGGGGAGTCAAGCGACTATCGATTCCTAAGTTCAAAGTTTAGACTGCTCGTCCAGAGGTTTCGACAGATTTCGACGTTGTTCCATTGATTCCTGTCCAAGTTGGACTTAATCTCACTGCCTTCGGCCCAAACACCATTTCCCATACTTCCTCCTTGCATTAACCAGATGACCTTGTCCACAAATCCTCTGACCATCTCCACAGTTTCTTCCCCGTTCGTTCCGCCTTCAACGTGAACATTTGCCTCCAAGTGTCGAATGATGTGAATTTTTCCTTCTTGGGTCTCACAGAAAAGAACCCTGCGCTCATCGATGACATTGGAACTGAAAAGGTTAGCATTTCTAAGAAGACAAAGAATTTGTTCTCTTTCCTGGGAACTGTCAACAGGACAAACAAGATGAATCACGTATAATTGAGCGAGATGATTGAGAAATGGTATAATATTTTCATAGAAGGCGTGGTTTGGAGCTTCCGGGTCCGGGGATGGATTCCAAAGTAGAACCTGTTTTTGATGTTAATAAAATCTTTGTAAATACCTTGTCGGGGACGATCGAATGACCAATTTATTTACTAACAAGAGACTTACATTTTTCATTGATATGGACATAGTTTTCTTTTTAGGAGTCGATGAACCTCTAAACAATCGGGATGCAAGGTTCAACTCTCGATCTTGGTTTCTTATCACACGACGTTCGGATCTACGGCGAGGTTGTTGCTAAAAAAAAAAAAAATAAATAAAAAAAAAATGAGTATATGTGCGAGCATATTTTGTATTGCGTTTTTTCCTCGCTAAAATGCTTTTTGCTCGGCGACACAGCTTTAAGATGGGTATGAAGAGTTCTTACCAACTCGGTCGTTTCCTCGTTTTCATTTTCATCGTCCGAATCATGTCTTTGCGGTTGCGTCCTGTGGTAAATGTATAATGCAAAAAAACCTACAGCTGCAATTGCTAAAACCGCATAAGTAAGTAAAGGAGCATTCGATCTGCGCACCACAGACTTGGATGTCATGTCGTTTATAAACCAGGAAAGCTAGAGCTAACTAAATTGATTGGTGTAAGCGATACGGAATTCTAATAAATTTATAGGGTAATGTAATCGTGAAATAAAAGCACTCACAATGTTTGTGCAACGGAGAGAGAAAATTCCCACGAGTTTATGCATGCTAACACGTCAACTACCAAATCGGGGCACACCTTAATTTGTGCGTGGCTTCGCGAATTGAAGGCGGAAAAATCATCAATTGATCAAACTAACCATCAGCTATTATCAAATGGTATTCTCGTCAATTCACAACGAAATCCTTAGGTCTGCAACGTGGGTTCCAATAAAAACTGACGCAGTGTTCGGCTACGAGACGCACCTTGTGAAATCGATCTTTAATAAAAACTCATATCTCGTGCTCGTCACAAACCTTCGATATGTTTGGTTTGAAGAGTTGCCAGCAGACGAGATAAAAAAACGTTTCCAGGAAAGCAACATAGGCTAGCTTATCTCAAGACTAGTCGCGTTTACCTTTTCATATCTCGATAAGATTTTTTGAGTGTGTCCACCTTCCCTCCGAGAATTTATTTTATTTTATTTTTGTTTTCTTGGTTAATTCAGAAGCTAAAAATTTTCCCTGATCCCGAACGATTTCCCGAATATGTCCAATTCCTATCAGAATACTTACAGCAACGTCCGGATATTGAACACAGGGTAATTAAACAAGATAATGTTGTAAGTATCCCATTAAATCAATCCCATGAACGAAACTTGACCACCGATCATTTATCCAAACATTTTTTTTTTTTTTTTTTTTTTTTTTTACATGCATTAGTTGTCTCTTGAGTCTAAAAGGATTGTAGGCCCAATAGATTTGGTGTGGAATTTTTTGTGCACGTTAATTCCCAATTCGTCACCGAACACAATATCATCTCGATTTGGTTCCAACGAATTCGTTGATGGCGCGACTGTTCTATATACTCACTTCGTTCTACCACAGCTATTACTCTCGTCTGCTTACAATCAGCATATTTGTGCACTGCATGATTCCATAAAATTGAAAGAGGAGCAATTTAAAGAAACCATTCGCCTCATGTCTCTGATGAGAATGGAGCCCAGTAAGTCCGGTAAGAAGAATGGTAGATTTTCGTTTGCTTCGTTTTTATTATTATTATTATTATTATTAAAGTAAACCTCTACTCGACTTTATTTTTTGGGAATCTGATTTGTGTTGATTGGTTGGTTTTCCTTAAGATAATGGACCTGCATCATTCAACCCAGAAGACTCCTGTCAAGAAATCGAGCGGGTAATTTTTCGATATATTTCAAGATGTCATAATTACACTAGCTTTTCTTAATTCGAAAATTCCCTGTAGATCATTGCGAACTTTGATTCCTTGGAGGATGGCATGCCTTTTAATATACACAAAAATCCCATGTATTCGAGATTATTTCAAAAAGCGACGGAGCGCGTCATTTCCCAAAATTACACACACCGTACCTGTTAATTAATCTCATGTTATGTGTATGCGTGAACTAGCATCTTCTCGTTCCTAATGGCCAAATTTATCATAGAACATGCTACACCCGAAGCATTATCATGCTCCTCATCGGTACCATCAATCTCCGATTTGGAACAGGTGTCGTCGCATATCTCGCAGTGTTCCACCGTAAAGCTACCGAGCCTTACGCAGTCACAACTATCCGAGATTTTTACGTCTCAGTTGTCGGCCTATGAAGATTCTGTGCTTGAAGTCCCGTCACCCGGTCAAGACGCGATACGGTCAAATGTCGACCTAGATCGCACGCCAAGCTTTACAAATAATTCAGAGATGAGTCAGGCGGAGAGGGAAAGAATTCAAATGGTAAGGAGTTGCTTACATTTGTACGCGAACAAAGCTTTCTTTGAATGCTCGGCGTCTAAAATTTTGAATGACTCAGGAAGAAAACTTAAAGGCCGAAGCCGATGCTCGTGAACGCAGAATAAGGCAAGAGTTGAAGGAGATGGACAAAAGGAACGCGGAAAAAGCTACTAAAAAACGTAAGAAAATCCACTGAATTATGGTTGCATAGTTTATATAGTGTTTAGTTAATAGTTGCAATATCGGCTGGTTCCAAACCTTGAAGATAAATTTTTGCGCGTGCGTGACATTTTAAACAATAAATTTGGCATGTTCTCGCGCAGATGTGTCTACGGGAAGTTGTTTTCAAACGTACAGGAAATTTTTGATTCATATCAAAAATAAAATAAAATAAAAATCATCATCTGATTGGATGGTAAAGATAATTTTATTGATGATTCTTTTTTTTTGTCGTCATCGCTAAAACATGCAAAACCCAAATCTTCGTCATATCATTGCTCGATTCGCGTTACCGGCGGCTTCCGTTAAACATGTATCAAGGATGAAAAACTGTCGTAGCTTGGTAGGAAGAAAAAGCCATGGTATGCACGTGACCGTGAAGCTACCTTACATTGACGACGTTAAATGCAATGTTTTTTTTTTTTCGAAATCACAAATCACCCTCTTTTTAACCAATGAATGATTCAAAGGAAACGCATTTTCAACTCGAGCTCAAGAAGAAATATCACATAGTCCTGCAATAACGCTCGTTCAATTTGATCTGAACATGAACGAGAAGGAGCAAGCGGCATATCTTAAACGTATGCGAGTTTCTCTTTCTATGAAGGATCTCCCGGCCGTCACCAAAGAATTTATAGAGCTCAAAAACAACAATGTCACTCCGAACCTAGAAATTTACCACATTCTCTTAAAAGCCTGCTCTCTGACGGCCGACTTACCTAGCGCGATTGAAATAATCAAACAAATGTACAAAGATTCTATTTCACCCGTCAAGGAGACATACAAGCATCTTCTGAGTGTGGTGGAGGCCTCTTCGGATCACATGCGGGCAATTAACATCGTCAGATCAATGGCTAACGGTCAAATTCCTCTTTCGGATAAAAAGCAATTCCTGCAGGGAAGCACTGATCCGTTGGAATTTGAAATCGATTTGGATGTGTGGAAAATGATGTTGAGCGCCATAACCACACCGCATAAGTTATATAGCACCCGAAGCATGGAGTATTTTGAGGAAGTAAAAAACCTGGGTGAAATATTTTTAGAAACCCACAAAAGACCCTTTGACAAAGAAACCTGGAGATTACTTGTTCGGGTGAGCTTTTTTTCCCTGTATTGCACCAAAAATGGATTTCAAACTTGATAATTGAAATTTACTCTTAGACATTAGGATCATATCCTAAGAAAAGTAAAAGCTTCGACTTGGTGTTGAAAGATCTCCAGGATGAGCATTCAATCACACCAGAACTATATTCCGAAATAATATGGGCACTATCTAGGAAATCAAAAGTGGAGGATGCGATGATTTATTTAGACCAATTGATTTCCGATTTTAAATACATACCGTCTCGTGAGCCTCTCTATGCGTTGACTTCATACTACGCGGATTTGGGGGAATATCAGGAAACCGGTTATTTAATAGAAAATTATGCCAAGCTAATCAAGTGTGAGGAACAACCGCCGGGGAGGCCGGGAAATTGGGAGATTGACTTTACGACGGTTTTAATGCAAGCCTACGTTCAGGCACTTCGCAATAGGACCACTCCTCAGAGAGGTGCAAGTTACCACGGCAATCCCATACCAATAGTAATGCGGGAGGATATCGTGGACCATTTTTCAAGAGAGAATTTTACAAAGAGTACATTCTATGCGTCCTGGGAGAGGCTGATGAAAAGTGTTGAGAGATCGGATTCAACATTTTACCGAGATCATTATGATTTGATCATTAGATTCAACGTTTTTGCAAATAAAATTGACGACACCAAATTTCCTTTAGAGAATTGCTTGCAAATGATAAAATCCATGAGAGGAAACGGAATGGAACCAAGTTTTGAGACCTACAAGTTTTTATTGGAAGGGTATTCGAAGTCAACATCCAACGACACTTCAAACCATAGGGTTGAAAAGGCCCTGGAAATTTTCGAAATGATTAGGTTGGCTGGTTACGATGTTGATAATTTGCAAGTCTTCCAACCTCTTTTGGACTCCTGTTTGCCAAACGTTAAATCGAGGGTCGATGGTCAGACGGCGGTTGGTAATAGGTTTGGGAAGAAGGCTAAGAATGGAGTCGAGAGCATCTCCCTACTTCACAAATCTTCAACTCCCAAAATTTTCGAAATCGAAAAATTGATGAAAGGCATGAAGGTCATGCACAATCAAAAATCCATTATAACCATTCTGGAATATCTCGGGGAAACCGGAAATTATGCGAGCATGTGGAAAAGGTGGACCGAAATCTCGTTAACAGGGCATCGAAGAAGCGAACTCTTATATGAGACGATACTTCGATTGGCGTCAAGAGATTTAACTGAATCGGAGTATGCTATAAATGTGGTCAGGCACCAGATGAAGAGGGAACCGCCGCCTATCAGACCAACCCTTGGAATTTATCACCAGTTGTTCGAATGCTGTCTGAAATGCAACGATACCTTAACAATCAGGGAATTGATCGAGGAGATTAACGACGTTCAATTTGGAGGGATGGTGGGGAACCATTTGATGAAGAGCGGCGATTACTCAGGTGACGGTAGGTCCGGATTTTTTGGCACGGATTCCTTGATAGTTTCGAAAGAGGATCAATCGAAGTTGCAAGCGCTGGTATTGAACACTTGTTTCAAATTGCCCGTCTTATACAAAGACGGCGAAAAATTGGCACGGAATAATTTAGAGTGTAGAAAGGACTTGATAGATTTCGACTTTTGGAAACTGCTGTTAGATTATTATACCGAACACGATGATTCCAATGTTCAAAAAACATTTGAAATGTTTGTGGATTGGAGAGATCATAATCGTGGGTTCAATAAATCGGATATGTTCGGAGGGGATGATGAGTGTGTTGACACTACCACGGATCATATCGCAACCGCTACGAGAATCCAGGATTTGAGATTTCCAATTCCACCCTTGACCTTAGAAGACATTGAGATCATTAATATCTATGGTAGAAATTCCATTCGGAAGGGGGAGTTTAATTTAGCCAAGGAAATTCTGACCTACATTATTACCAACTTTCAACTGTCACCTCCCGCTCCTCTGAAATTGACGAAACCGCACATTTCATCATGTCAAATTTCCAACTTTGATCGTCCGACTGCATCTTCCTCATCCTCCAAGATAGATAGTAGAATAATCGATATGAACATTTTAAAGGAATTCGCATATTTAACTTTCAAGCAAAACAAACTTGACGAATTGCGCTGGTTAGAAAAAAACATAATAACCAAGATTGGATTCTTTTCCACGCCCTCCGCCGCCTCCTTCCCCTCTACCTCCTATTCCGCTTCCTTACCAAGCGACCAAAAGGAATTTGCCCAAAAAAAGGATTTCGAAATATTATTGAAATGGATAACCAAATGCTTAAGTGTTTCATCCCTTTCATCACCTCCGATATCTCCTCTGAGGCATAATAAAAAGAGAACAAATGGATCGTCCACAGAACGTCCTACGTCATACGAATCGTATGTTAACCATACGCTCCAGGAAGAATCTGCTTCAGCTAACGAAGTGCTCAAAAGCTTAAATCACCTTGCAGCAAAATCCAACACCGCGAAAGATGGTGAAGGGGGGAGAGGCACCAAGGTTTAGGGGTAGATGTGCAAATCCATCCAGACCTATTCTGGGAATGACGAATGCCAGGGTGAAATGTACAAGTTGACATAGTTTAAGCTCTTTATTGAAATGTAATAGAAAAAAAAAAAAAAAAAAAAAAAAAAAACATTTTTAATGAAAATAGTTCCATGTCCTGTGCATTATGTTACATCAAAATCCCGTCTTACAAAACGAATCCAAAGTTGTATTCCTTTGTTTTTCTTTTTGACAAACTGCGACGATAAAAATATAGACATTTCACCAGAATAAATACATAAATACATTTCTCAGATAATAATAATAATAAAAAAAGGGATTTCAATTCCGAACACATTGAACCATTTAAATTTAAAAATACAAATCCTCGTAAAATGAATTTTTTTTTCTTCTAAGGGGAAAAATAAAAACCGATCAATCCTGTTTATTACGCTTCTGTGGTGGTTCTATGGTACATCGAAAGAATGTAGGTAAGTATGAAATTCGTTCAATCGAAATTTTTCAGTCGGCGGATTCGTACCATCGTCCGAGTCATCCGGATAATCATCCAAGTCGATTTCTTCCTCTGGATCTAAATCATCCTCTTCTTCGTAATCCAAATTAAAATGCCTAAATTTTACGAAGGAGCCTATTCAGTACCGCGCTCTCAAGTGTTCGCAGTGAAAAGAAAAAGAAATGTTACAGACATCCAGGCATCGCCATATAAGTCATCTCTAATCGTTTTTCCCAATTCCCAAGAGTTGTCGTCGGTACTGGTGTCGGAGAACCATCGAATCAAGCCTTGGTCGGCATCATCATCGCTCTTACGTTTCTTTGTGAAGTCCTTTGGTGTTGAAATGTTCCGTAGTCTTAGTTGCAATCCTCATTGACGATTAAATCAAATACAGGCATCATATTATTAATAATGTTCATACCTTGCCCTCATGCCAAATAATCTCGGTACTTTTTATATGTCGCGTTCCATCTGCATCCATCGAAAATTCCTGGATTAACAAGCAAACGAGTGTTTAAATTAGGTGAAATTGTGAGCGTGTAGGTAGAATGAAATTCAAACCTTGGTAAGCTCGGTATTGGAGAAATAGGAATTCTTGTTAAATGTTAAGATGATCTTGTAATTTTCCAAATTTTGTTCATCCTTTTCAATGATCAATTCCTTGAGATTTTGGATGACCTGTCGGAAAGAAAGAGGAAATCAATTTAATGATCCGGCAATGACCTCGGAATTTTCGCAAAGATAAAAAAATACCTCGGAGTCATCGTAATCCAACCAATGGACTGCGAGTAGAGGAACAAAGAAATAATGACGATTATTGTTTTAAAGTGAGGTTGAGTGGAGATAACATCATAATTGATAACTTACCGATGACGGGGTGTTTCATGAACTGTTATTAAAATTGCGGGAACGTTTATCTTTAGAACGGAAAGAGAAAAAGGGGTGATAATTAGAAACAATACTCACGACGGTTGTCCAAAACTTTGGAATTTTCTCAAAAACCTTCCGCCGTCTTTCATAAGCTGGAGCAGAAAGTTTTACCCGTTGCTTTGCTTTATAGTGGAACAATTGGATAGAGCGCAGATAGTGTGAAAAAAGTTATATGGGTGAGCAAGTGCAAAACTCCGATAAAGGAAACAACAAATACCAAGTTCTAATTCCATCTGCTCAAATTGTTGTTGTATCGACTTCATTTCTTCGAAAACCTCCTCTCCTACAGCCTCGACCTCGCCATTTCCCATGTCCGCTTTCGAGCTGCTTGCCATCTTTAGTTGAAATTCTGACGGTGAACAAACAGGGAATTAAACTTCTGAGAAATGTCCGTGAACTTTTTAATGAGCAATTTTGCTAACTTTAATTGACTAAAATCACTGCACGGATTAGGGTTGTATAACGATGCATATGTATTTGGAAAATCAATTGACTTTCCATCGTATCCTGTTACACGGAATCCTTGTACTTAATTTGGTGTATTGTAGAATACGAGAACGACATTCCTATAGTAAAAAAATACACAATCTTGAAACTCAATTTTTACTAAGAAAAAGAAAGAAGAAGAAGAAGAAGAAGAAAAAAAAAAAAGGAAATGGATAAAGATTCTCGTCTCTCCGTCTTGGCTGACAATATTCTTGCCAGCGTCGTTGAAAGAAACAGGTGTAAGAAAGAGAACATCGAGTATCCTCACGAAGACGCGATCAACAAAAATTTGGCCAAATTGCAAACAGGAATTAAAGAACTGGAACAGGAACTATCAACCGCCGAAGAATCAGGAACTCAGTATGTGAAAGTAATTTGTTTAATTTAATTTCTTTGTTTTCGTCAACTCATGATGGAGGTCACACTGAGATTTACAATCTTGCATGTTCGTACTTTCTGAATTCAGTAGTTCCAAAGACCTCAAAGGAAAGGAAGATATGCTTATCAAACTAACCAAGCAATATGAAAAACTGAGTGCCTTGATGCAGGATGACATCTCGGCCAGGGAATTGTTACTTGGGATCAATGCAACCACTCAGATTTCCGCTAAATCAAAAACAAAAACGGTAAGATTTTCGCCGATAGTGGAAACCGATGACATGGACAACACACAGGTGCTCCTATTACAAGAAAGAATCATGCGTGGTAAGAAGATCCACATCCTTCGTAAAGTTTCACAGCCACCCGTCGCCGAAAAAATTTTAAGCGCCCTTTGAAATTTCCAGATCAAGATGAAGACCTGGATAGGTTGGATGAAGCTATTGGGCGCCAGAGAGAGTTAAGCCTGATGATAGGCGAAGAATTGGATTCACAAATAGAACTATTAACGGACACCGAGGCTATTGTCGATCAAACGGATGGAAAATTAAATAGAGCCAAGAGGGGACTTGTCAAGATATCAAAAAATGCAAAAGAAAAAGGTAAGGAAAAATATTTGGAATGGTGATACGGTTCGAAATCGAAGATGCTTAAATATATATTTTGTTGTTTCATTTTAGGCTCGGTATTCTTAATCGCATCATTGGCACTTGTTTTGATCGTGATATTAGTTATTCTTTTCAAATAGATTTTTTTTTTCTTTTTCTCCCGATTTGTCCATAGACTCTTTTTCTCATCTTTTTCATATTGTTAATAATGATCCTTCCAGGTGTTTATACATATATCCATAATGAATTCTTTGTTTGAATTATGTACTTAATTTAATCCAATACCAACCGTTTCTATTTTTTCTTGACCTTTTTATTTAAATTTCTATCATTCTTGTGATTATTGTTGTGATCGGTTTCAAAAGTCGAACGTTTCTTTTTCCGAATTTCCTTAGTGGCGCCAAAATTTGTGTCGTGAAGGTGCTATTAATGAAGAAAATCAATAAAACAATTGAGCATTAGTTTTTGGAGAGATTCAAAGAATTAATGACGAGAGCGAACAAAAACATCCTTACCATCGCAGCAACACGTTTTGCAATAGTGACTTCATTTAAGCTCTCTAAAATTTTGTTTTCATTTATTTTCCATTCTTCCATCTTTTTATCTAATGAAATTTTCAGAAGGATCAATTAAATGGCACGACGTATGGAACCTTGTAATAAATTGATCCCTACTTATTCTAGCTTCGATGTTGTGCACTAGTTCTATGTCACGTTCCGTTACAATGGACAACGCGACACCACCGCGACCTATGACATCATGATTTCGTGAGGTGCACATTAATAATCTTGTTGGTTGGTTTAGCTAGAGTCTTCCTAGAGGGGAAATTTCACACCTGCTCTTGCAGTTCTACCGACTCGATGAATATAATCTGTTGGATCCCTTGGTATGTCGAAATTAATAACGAGTTCTACCGTCGGAATATCCAAGCCTCTATGGAAAAAAAAAAAAAGTGACCATCAGCTTAGCAAATAGAATGAACGTCTTCCATCCAGTGAGTTCAACTCACCGACTTCCAACATCCGTGGCAACCAGCACCCTAATAACCTCGGCCTTGAATTTTCCTAGACTGTTTAATCTCTCTTTCTGACTCATTGTGGAATGTAAACCCGTACATCGAATGTCCAGCTCTACCAACATCAATCGTAGCAATTCGGCAGTTTTGCATCGACCACAAAATATTATTGCCGATTTTTTTGTGAATTCTTTGGATTTC